GACCACTTGTGGAGAGCTTTTGAAAGACCTAAAATTAGCAGGTTCAATTGTTTCAAAGAAAACAATATGTAATGCACTCAACCACCATGGCCTGTATGCTCGCTCACCACACAAGACTCCACTGATGAAGAAAAAGCATGTTGAAGGTCGTTTACAGTTTGCTGCACAACATTTAGACAAGCCTGTGAAATACTGGGAGGATATAGTGTGAGATGGGGAAACAGCTCTCATTGTTTGAATACAGCTTGTGTGGAGTAAATTAAATGTTTTGACTAACATTCTGCAGTTTAGCCACAAGATGTCACTGTTTGTCTAACACAGCCTCAGACTGCATAGATATTTCTATATTCATGAAGAGGTGGAGTTTTCACACAGAGTTGAGGGAACAGGAAGAGGAGAGAGGACAGCCATGTTTAGAGGATGGTGAAGGCAGGGGCTGTGTGAGCTGAGAATCTGATGACATCCAGGTGTGGAAGCATCCCTCCGTAACCAGAGCTGCAGCTAAGTGAAGCTGATGAGATTGCTGCCAGGAAGCTGATGAGATTGCTGCCAGGAATGCTGATGAGAACAGAGGAACTAAGCAACATATACGGCGAGACAGAATGCTTGTTGGAGAGACATTTGTTCTGTTCGGAGTCACCAGCGGATGCAAAGCAGACCCGGGTCGGTAAGATCGTGCACGCACCTCATTTCAGTGTTGGCGCCTTGAGACTGAGTCCAGGCCTATAGTTAGGCCTGGACTCAGTCAGGCCACAAGTGTTATTACTGATTATTGGAAGGACTCCACAACTTAAAGTGACATTTCACATTGGAGAACTGATAACATCCCACACACTCAAGCCAGACTGGCGTTTTGCTCAGAAGGAATACTCAGGCCAGTGCTACAGGACCAGTTATAGGAGGGGGAATACTGTAGATTTGTGTAAGATTGTAAGCTGTTGTGCTGCACCGCAGGCTAGCCTATACCGTACACCCATACACTGATTCCTGCTCTTTTAGGGAAATAACGGGTAAGGTGTGGCAGCTTAGTTGTGCCCGCCAGTAGATAAATTACTACACTTTCTAACTTCATCCATCAGAAGGCACCGTGCTGTGCAGCACAAGGGTCTCAGCCTTTGGGTTTCGTGTATGTAAAAAACTCTCAACTGGTTTCAAAGAAAGAAAATAAATCTGCTAGAATGGCCCAGCCAATCACCTGACTTGAAGCCAATAGACAATCTATAGAAAGAACTAAAGATCAGAGATCATAGAAGAGACCCACGGAACCTTCAAGATTTGAAGACTGTGTGTGTGTGTAAGAACGGGCCAAAATCACACCTGAGCAATGCATGCCACTAGGAGGCATCTTGAAGCTCTCATTATCAAATGGTTTTATACAAAGTGTTAAATACATTTCAGTTAGTGTGTTCAATACCTTTTCCCTGTCATTCCATTTTATTACACATAACTTAATTTCTGAACTTATTTGTTTTGGTTTCTTTCTATATATGGACTGCATGGGTAGTTACTGACATGTGGGGAAAATGTCATGTCAATTTAGAAATAGATTTACTGGGAGAAATGGTGAGGTGTTCAATACTTATTTTACCTGCTGTGTATATATATATATATATATATATATATAATTTTTTTATTGTATTTTTTAATTATTATTTATTTATGTACACACACACACATATAGATATAGATATATGTATATGTATGTATATACCTGTGTGTAAATATATATATATGTGTGTGTGTGTATATATATATATATATGTATATATATATATATATACAGTGGGGCAAAAAAGTATTTAGTCAGCCACCAATTGTGCAAGTTCTGCCACTTAAAAAGATGAGAGAGGCCTGTAATTGGCATCATAGGTAGACCTCAACTATGAGAGACAAAATGAGAAAACAAATCCAGACAATCACATTGGCTGATTTGGAAATTTGCAAATTTGATTTGCAAATAGTAAGTATAGTAGAAAAATAAGTATTTGGTCACCTACAAACAAGCAAAATTTCACAGACCTGTACCTTCTTCTTTAAGAGGCTCCTCTGTCCTGCACTCATTACCTGTATCAATGGCACCTGTTTGAACTTATCAGTATAAAAGACACCTGTCCACAACCTCAAACAGTCACACTCCAAACTCCACTATGGTGAAGACCAAAGAGCTGTTGAAGGACACCAGAAACAAAATTGTAGTCCTGCACCAGGCTGGGAAGACTGAATCTGCAATAGGCAAGCAGCTTGGTGTGAACAAATCAACTGTGGGAGCAATAATTAGAAAATGGAAGACATACAAGACCACTGATAATCTCCCTCGATCTGGGGCTCCACGCAAGATCTCACCCTGTGGGGTCAAAATGATCACAAGAACGGTGAGCAAAAATCCCAGGACCACACGGGGGGACCTAGTGAATGATCTGCAGAGAGCTGGGACCAACGTAACAAAGGCTACCATCAGTAACACACTACGCCGCCAGGGACTCAGATCCTGCAGTGCCAGACGTGTCCCCCTGCTTAAGCCAGTACATGTCCGGGCCCATCTGAAGTTTGCTAGAGAGCATTTGGATGATCCAGAAGAGGATTGGGAGAATGTCATATGGTCAGATGAAACCAAAATAAAACTGTTTGGTAGAAACACAACTCGTCGTGTTTGGAGGAGAGAGAATGCGGAGTTGCATCCAAAGAACACCATACCTACTGTGAAGCATGGGGGTGGCAACATCATGCTTTGGAGCTGTTTCTCCGCAAAGGGACCAGGGTGACTGATCCATGTACAGGACAGAATGAATGGGGCCATGTATCGTGAGATTTTGAGTGCAAACCTCCTTCCATCAGCAAGGGCATTGAAGATGAAACGTGGCTGGGTCTTCCAACATGACAATGATCCCAAACATACCGCCCGGGCAACAAAGGAGTGGCTTCGTAAGAAGCATTTCAAGGTCCTGTTGTGGCCTAGCCAGTCTCCAGATCTCAACCCCATAGAAAACCTTTGGAGGGAGTTGAAAGTCTGTGTTGCCCAGCGACAGCCCTAAAACATCACTGCTCTAGAGGAGATCTGCATGGAGGATGGGCCAACATACCAGCAACAGTGTGTGCCAACCTTGTGAAGACTTACAGGAAACGTTTGACCTCTGTCATTGCCAACAAAGGATATATAACAAAGTATTGAGATTAACTTTTCATATTGACCAAATACTTATTTCCACCATAATCTGCAAATAAATTCTTTCCAAATCAGCCAATGTGATTGTCTGGATTTTTTTTCTCATTTTGTCTCTCATAGTTGAGGTCTACCTATGATGCCAATTACAGGCCTCTGTCATCTTTTTAAGTGGGAGAACTTGCACAATTAGTGGCTGACTAAATACTTTTTTGCCCCACTGTATATGTGTGTGTGTATATATATATATATATATCAAACTATCATACTTTTCTATATAGAGCACATGGTCCAACCCAGGATTTGGACCTGCAAGCATCACGGAAAGGGGCCTGTAGCAGTATTTTGCCCTGTTAAGTATTTAAAGGACTTTAGCTGAACTCCAGCAAAAAAAAGACAACATAAAAATGAATAGTTGGTGTTATATAAATTCTGTATAATAATAATAATAATGAATAATGATAATAATTTTCTGCAGTATTCACCGTTCAATTCATAGATTTCCCATGCACTATTTTTTTTTCAGTAGATATTCTCAGTATAATGACCAGCAAAGCTCACCCATATTTATACAGATCTATACATCAAGCATGAGATAATTGTGGATGGGAAGACAGGCTGGGAGACCAAGGTCCAAAAGAAAGACAGTTGGGAACAGTTATAAAATAAGAATTATTATTATTATTTATTATTAATTATAATAATAATAATAATAATAATAAAACAAAACAACAACAACAATAATAATATAATAATAATAAAAATAATAATATAATAATAATAATAATAATAATAAAAAATACTATTACGCAAAGACATAGTGATCTGTGTATCAACCTGGTTGCTTGTACTATATATACTAACCACTAGATGGAGACAAAGTCCACTATCATATACCTAGAAGTGTGTCACCATATAATCTCTGCAATAATGATAGAAGTTGGTAAACCAAAAATTGTGTTACCTTCATACTATCACACTTCTTCTTTAACCATCATACTTCTCCTTTATCCCTTTCTCTGCCAGAGCTTTTTTTGCGCACTTTAAAAAAGAAAAAAACGTAGGCTTGAAGATTAGGTAAAACCCCCAAACTGTATCAATTTTCTGAAAGTAGACACCCTGGAGAATAAATTGTTGGTATTTCCATTTTTTTTTAAATGTCACATGATATTAGTGCAGTGGTTTATCAAAGAGCAATTTTTTCAGTAAAATACACGCTAAAGCTGATTTTAGGTCTCAAAAATGCAATATATTACCCAATTTTTCAGTATACGACACATGATGCTGTTGTGCCGAGTAAATAGATACCCAACATGTCTAGCCTTAAAATTAAGCGACGTACTTCAGTAGCCAAAATTTTCCATAAGCGACATTTTAATAGCCCCTACAGGTCACCAGTTTAGAGTTAATCATTCTGCTCTGTTACTTCCCACTGTCTTCTAGAGGATTGTAGAATTATAGTGACAGGAAGGACAAAGTAATGAATATGATTAAGGTGATATACTGTCCTCATTACTAACTCCTGTGGCCAGGGCTGGACTGACAACTCATGGGGCACCCGGGCAATAGGGGATCATGGGGCCCCTGTGTCCTTGCCAAACTCAAAAAAGCCTATGGAAAAGGTACCAGGGGCATCTCATGGGGCCCCCTACTGACTCCGGGCCCTCGGGCAGTGCCGGAGTTTCCAAATGGTCAGTCCGCCCCTGCCTGTGGCAGCCATCGCTCCCCAGGTTGCGGGTGGGCCCTCAGCCCCCCCCCCCCCCAAACAATAGAGGACTGCTGGTCTTGCATTGTACAGGATGGTGCCATAGAGCTGTGACTGGTCATGCGGCAAAGACTGGTCACCTAAAAAAGGAGGAAGCCTGGGGAAGCGAGGGATAAAGTAAGTACACCACCTTACTCATCATCCTCTAAGCCCAATGAGCATTTAAAGTGTTACTAAGCCCAGGACACTGCATTCACTATATCCGGTCTCCCCCGGACCCTGCATTCACTATATCCGGTCTCCCCCCGGACCCTGCATTCACTATATCCGGTCTCCCCGGACCCTGGTCATTCACTATATCCAGTCTCCCCGGACCCTGCATTCACTATATCCGGTCTCCCCCCGGACCCTGCATTCACTATATCTGGTCTCCCCAGACCCTGCATTCACTATATTCTGTCTCCCCGGACCCCGCATTCACTATATCTGGTCTCCCCGGACCCCGCATTCACTATATATTCTGTCTCCCCGGACCCTGCATTCACTATATCTGGTCTCCCAAGACCCTGTATTCACTATATCCGGTCTCCCCGGACCCTGCATTCACTATATCCGGTCTCCCCGGACTCTGCATTCACTATATCCGGTCTCCCCGGACCCTGCATTCACTTTATCTGGTCTCCCCGGGCCCTGCATTCACTATATCTGGTCTCCCAGGACCCTGCATTCACTACATCTGGTCTCCCCCGACCCTGCATTCACTACTATATCTGGTCTCCCAGGACCCTGCATTCACTACATCTGGTCTCCCCGGACCCTGCATTCACTATATCTGGTCTCCCCAGACCCTGCATTCACTATATCCGGTCTCCCCCCGGACCCTGCATTCACTATATCTGGTCTCCCCAGACCCTGCATTCACTATATTCTGTCTCCCCGGACCCTGCATTCACTATATCTGGTCTCCCAAGACCCTGTATTCACTATATCTGGTCTCCCCGGACCCTGCATTCACTATATCCAGTCTCCCCGGACTCTGAATTCACTATATCCGGTCTCCCCGGACCCTGCATTCACTTTATCTGGTCTCCCCGGGCCCTGCATTCACTATATCTGGTCTCCCCGGACCCTGCATTCACTATATCTGGTCTCCCAGGACCCTGCATTCACTACATCTGGTCTCCCCGGACCCTGCATTCACTATATCCGGTCTCCCCGGACCCTGCAGTCACTATATCTGGTCTCCTTGGACCCTGCATTCACTATATCTGGTCTCCCCGGACCCTGCATTCACTATATCCACTCTCCCTGGGCCCTGCATTCACTATATCCGGTCTCCCCGGACCCTGCATTCACTATATCTGGTCTCCCAGGACCCTGCATTCACTATATCCGGTCTCCCCGGACCCTGCATTCACTACATCTGGTCTCCCCGGACCCTGCATTCACTATATCTGGTCTCCCCGGACCCTGCATTCACTATATATGGTCTCCCCGGACCCTGCATTCACTATATCTGGTCTCCCCGGACCCTGCATTCACTATATCTGGTCTCCCTGGACCCTGCATTCACTATATCTGGTCTCCCCAGACCCTGCATTCACTATATCCTCTCCCCGGACCCTGCATTCACTATATCCGCTCTCCCCAGACCCTGCATTCACTATATCTGGTCTCCCAAGACCCTGCGTTCACTATATCCGCTCTTCCCGGACCCTGCATTCACTATATCCGCTCTCCCCGGACCCTGCATTCACTATATCCGCTCTCCCCGGACCCTGCATTCACTATATCTGGTCTCCCAAGACCCTCCATTCACTATATCCGCTCTCCCCGGACCCCACATTCACTTATCTGGTCTCCCTGGACAACAATAACAAAAAGTTGGACTTAAACCTTACATCCAGAGATGACAATTTAAAGTTTGTTTAAAGCCAGAACATTTTTTTTTGCTGTTTTCCTTAGCAAGGGGATGTCTTTCACCAAAGTTAGAAAGCACAGACTTCCCATAACTTACTGTCCTCATGAACACTGTAACATTTGGGATTTCCCATAACTTATTGTCCCGGTGAAAACTGTAAAACTGTGGATTTCTCTTCACTTTGTGTCCCGGTGACAACTGTAAAATGTTGGATTCTCCATCACTTTTGTCCTGGTAGAAGTGTAAAATTGTGGATTTACCTTCATTTTGTGTCCTGAGTCAACTGTAAAATTTTGGATTACCTTTCACTTTCTTTCCTGATGACAATTGTAAAATTTTGGATTTTCCTTCACTTTGTGTCCTGGGATGAAAACTGTAAAATTTGGCTTTCCCTTCACTTATTGTCCTGGTGACAACTGTACAATTGTGGATTACTCTTCACTTTCTGTTCTGGGAACAACTGTAAAATTTGGATTTTCCTTCACTTTGTATCCTGGTGAGAATGGTAAAATTTTAGATTTCCCTTCACTTACTGTAATGGTGACAACTGTAAAATTTTGGATTTCTCTTCACTTTCTGTCCTTGTGAAAACTGTAGAAATTTGGATTACCTACACTTTCTGTCACTTGTACAATTTTGGATTTCCTGTCCCGGTGACAACTGTACAATTTTGGATTTCCTTCACTTATTGTCCTGGTGACAACTGTACAATTTTGGATTTCCCTTCAATTATTGGGTGACAACTTTTTGGGATTTCCCTTTACTTATTGTCCCAGGTGACAACTGTACAATTTGGGATTTTCCTTTATTTATTGTCCTGGTGACAACTGTACAATTTTTCACTTATTTCCCTTCAACTTATTGTCCCGGTGGGACAACTGTACAATTTTGGTGATTTCCCTTCACTTATTGCCCTGGTGACAACTGTACAATTTGGGATTTTCCAACTTTATTTATTGTCCTGGTGACAACTGTAAATTTTTGGATTTCCCTTCACTTATTGTCCCGGTGACAACTGTACAATTTGGGATTTTCCTTTATTTACAACTTTGTCCTGTCCCGTGACAACTGTACAATTTTGGATTTCCCTTCACTTATTGTCCTGGTGACAACTGTACAATTGTGGATTACTCTTCACTTTCTGTTCTGGGGTGAACAACTGTAAAATTTGGGATTTTCCTTCACTTTGTATCCTGGTGAGAATGGTAAAATTTTAGATTTCCCTTCACTTACTGTACTGGTGACAACTGTAAAATTTTTTGGATTTCTCTTAACTTTGTGTCCTGGTGAAAACTGTACAAATTTGGATTACCTTTCACTTTCTGTTCTGGGAACAACTGTAAAATTTGGATTTTCCTTCACTTTGTATCCTGGTGAAATTGGATTTCCCTTCACTTATTGTCCTGGTGACAACTGTAAAATTTTGGATTTCTCTTCATTTCCCTTCACTTATTGCCTTTCACTTTCTGTCCTGGTGACAATTTCTCTGTACAATTTTTTGGATTTCCCTTCACTTATTGTCCCTGTGACAACTGTACAATTTGGGATTTTCCTTTACTGATTGTCCTGGTGACAACTGTACAATTTTGGATTTCCCTTCGCTTATTGTCCCGTGACAACTGTACAATTTTGGATTTCCCTTCACTTATTGTCCCGGTGACAACTGTACAATTTGGGATTTCCCTTCACTTATTGTCCCGGTGAAAACTGTACAATTTTGGATTTCCCTTCACTTATTGTCCCGGTGACAACTGTACAATTTGGGATTTCCCTTCACTTATTGTCCTGGTGACAACTGTACAATTTGGGATTTTCCTTTATTTATTGTCCTGGTGATAACTGTACAATTTTGGATTTCCCTTCACTTATTATCCTGGTGACAACTGTACAATTGTGGATTACTCTTCACTTTCTGTTCTGGGAACAACTGTAAAATTTGGGATTTTCCTTCACTTTGTATCCTGGTGAGAATTGTAAAATTTTAGATTTCCCTTCACTTACTGTACTGGTGACAACTGTAAAATTTTGGATTTCTCTTCACTTTCTGTCCTGGTGAAAACTGTACAAATTTGGATTGCCTTTCACTTTCTGTCCTGGGACAACTGTAAAATTTGGGATTTCTCTTCACTTTGTGTCCTGGTGACAACTGTAAAATTTTGGATTTCCCTTCACTTATTGTCCCTGTGACAACTGTACAATTTGGGATTTTCCTTTACTGATTGTCCTGGTGACAACTGTACAATTTTGGATTTCCCTTCGCTTATTGTCCCGGTGACAACTGTACAATTTTGGATTTCCCTTCACTTATTGTCCCGGTGACAACTGTAAAATTTTGGAATTCTCTTCACTTTGTGTCCCGGTGACAACTGTAAAATTGTGGATTACCTTTCACCTTCTGTCCTGTGACAACTGTACAATTTGGATTTACCTTTCACTTTCTGTCCTGGTGACAACTATAAAATTTGAGATTTCCCATCACTTACTGTTTGGGTGACAACTGTAAAATGTGGGATTTTTCATAGCTCCGGAGATCTCACCATAGTGCCCCAGAAAGATAGAATAGACTGTCAGCTGGTTTAACTCTCCAGCATCTGCTGAGATATCAGTTCTTGTTGGACTGACCCTTTCAGCAGACTCCCGCTATGTCCTCCAAGTCCCCCTCCTGCTTTCTTCTCAGTATATGAATGCAATTATCTGTATGTTAAGCAACAGGATCCACTTATGTGATTCAAATCCTCCTCGCCTTCCCCCATCTCCTCCACCTCCAACGAAATCCTTCTGGAAGATCGATGAGAAGAGTTTCCATTCCCTCTTCTGATTCCGGAGAAGGCGGACAGGTAATTAATGGCTTAACCCCTCCATTGCCTCCCTGACCCTTAAAGCCATTGTTAAAGTATCCTGCTAGGAGACAAATGAGGGGTCTACCATTGTTGGGGGGGGGGCAGCCTCAGTGCTGGCATTCTTAGTGATGAACAAATTTGTCCAATCTGAATAAGTTCATAAAAATTGTGAATTACGACAGGCTGGATTCTTAGAATGCCTCGTTCTTTGCTAATTGGGTCTACTTTTTAATATTCCAGAGAATAGAATAGTGATGAGTTGGCCATTCTCCTGAGTTGATCATCCCTAGTCATTGAGTTTCTTCCTTGTCTCTTCCTTGAGTTCTTGGTGAGTCATTGACCCAACACACCGGCTTGTTCAGACTAGGAGTTCATTAAAGTGTGGAATGGTGTTTTGTTTTTTCATTTATGTCCAACTGGGGAGACTTCCCTCCATATCATGACCTGTAGACACCTCCATAAGTCAGCAGGAACCTCTCCAAAGTGAAGGAAGTCTCCTCTAAAGGAGCTGTCAATCGAAACAAGTGTCCCCATTGGATGATTTGCCTTCTATCCTGTTCTGTAGACAACTGTAAAGACGTTGGATTTCCCATCACTTGGGAACAGGGGCGGACTGACAACTCATGGGGCCCCCGGGCAATAGGGGATCATGGGGCCCCTAAGTCCTTGCCCACACTCAAAAAAAAGCCTA